ACACACACACACACACCCACGTTTGATACGTATACTCAATTATTTCAAACGAACGTATACATAAACCCAGTAACGTGGTAACAAAACTCACCCAAAAGCTCAGACCCTGGTGCAATTATATAAAACCACCCAACCACCCCTACAACAATAACGCGCTTTCCGTAAACTGTATTTCTGTGTGTGCTGTGTAATATTGACCCAACAGTTTTGTAACATATTATTATAAACTCACAAATATTATAAACTCTATTCAATGGATGTTATTTGTAGATGTACTATGAGCAAAATAAGTGGTTGTTGGTACATAGTATTGGGACTCAGGCCTAAGATCCGGGGGTACCCACCTCCACCATATATTTCTAGGGCTGGTACAATTGTATCAGGAACATCATCACCAAACAGTACACTAATCATGTAACAGCAGTGTTAATTAATAAACTATAGGCACCAATGATGAGTAATTGTTGTTTTATTGTTTTAAACTAATGTCATCGTAATGTTATAATGCGTGTGCAACTATAGCCGGCTTATAAATATTTCACATCACGGAAATCTCTTTGCAAATAATAATGTACTTTTTTTTTCCCCAGTATTATATTTGTTACGAGTCTATGTACAATAGAATATTCATAATTTTTCAATTGAATTTTTCTACAATTATACATGCTATGTAATGTATATTTGCATAAAAATAATATTCCTTGTTGGCCAAAACGGTACGGATTATTGTTTTCGAAACGACGACCCATAGTAAAATTATTAGAATTCGACAGAAAACATTCGTCTGAAAACTTAATTTTACGCAAACATTTAATTAGTTTTATACATTTTTGTAAAAATGGACAAGATGAACAGAGCCTGATTAAAATATGTCCAGTATACTCTAAAAATCCCTATACTATTTTTTCCACCAATATCTAATAAGTGGTTAAGTGTTTGCATAATATTTTAGATTGGCGGGCATCAAGATTTTATCAAAAACGAATTTAAGAGTTTAAAAATAAAAACAGAATTTAATATTATAATATTTTCAATTCAAAATTAATTTAACATAAAAACAGAAAAAGATATCAAAAAAATAGTTTTCGAAAAATATATTAAAAAAAAAAAAGAAGAAAATGAAACTACCACATAAGAAACTAGCATATCATTTTAAACTATAACAGGGTATACTTATAAAAAAAATCATCAAGTATAACTCCACTCTTTTAAACGGTAGATATTTACTGGAAGATTTTTTTTTTAACTCTAAAATATGTATAACTCACGAGTGATGAGGTTCAGTGACGCGTAAATATAGGTGAAAAAAAATAAGCAACATAAAACTCAAAAATAATAAATTATACAAAAATATAATACTAAATCGTACAATAACAAATATTACACTTGCAAATTATTTTATGCGATAAGAATTTTCTTATTAATATTTAAGGGGTGAAATCCCATCTTGCAGGGTGCGACGTGCGTAAAAATTATAATTTTTGGCTGACCGGTGATAAAGTGAATTTATACGACCCTTAAACCACTTGATACATTGCTGCGCAATTACATACTTGTTTAATAGCACCCTGAAAGTTTAATCCAATGTTGGTATAGTATAATAAAAACTGCTCACAGTAAATATTTAAACACCATTATAATTTCTATTTTCCATGCCCGCACCGAAAGAATGATATAATCGAGTTAAAACGTTTTGAACGTATGCGTACATGAGCTTTTAAATTTTCCGACGAAAGGTTAATCCGTACGAATTGACTACGGTTGCAAGCTTATGAAGAAAATAGTGTTTTTGATTTTGCATTTACGTACATATTTTTTTGTTTTGTTCATATGAGTATTTATAAAAAATATATATATATATATATATATATATAAATTTACAATTTCCAGCGGGTGTAGTTAAAATGTTTTGATGGATCTAAAATACGTTTTACTGGATTTTTAGTAGGTATTCTGAAAAACGTCATTGTTTCCGCTGAACATCGTATAATTTAACAACAATTCTTACGGATCATCTTTGTTAGATTTATCCGTTTCTCGGAGATGTTACACGTTATAAGGAAAACACATAAACCATTTTAATTTTTTTACTTTACATTTTCCGATGGATTGTTTTTCTCATACAAATAATGTGAAACGATTAAGTAGTCGTAAAAATAATAGTAAAATAATAGTATAAGTACGAACTCTAATCGGTTATTTACAGTGCTCGAATTAGGAAAAATTAAGTAGAGGAGCTCAGTCCAACGATTTGAAAACTGCGTTCCACGTGCGCAATTATTTGACACAGACCCATGGGGGGGGGCTTTGTCCCTCTTACCTCCCTCCACCAACTTTAAATATATTTTGAATACCACTTTTTAATTAAACAAATATTTAAATTCCAAATATTTTATATTTTGATAGCAATATCAACATCCTAAATGTTACAATAGAAAATAAAAATAAAAAAATAATTAACATAGGTAATTGTAGGCGATCATACAGTCTCATGAATCGAATGATATAATCATATATTTGGTTTTTGTTTTTATTTATTTTTACTCTTTAGTGCGGGTCACGGCCTTAGAAGATTAGTCTAGGGGCGTGGTGAAGGCATTTATTTTTTTCCGAAATGACGATATCGTCGATCGCCAATATCAATAACAAACCGTACAATGTATAAATATATAATACACCAAATTCAAAGATATTACTATTTATATTTTTCCAGAAATGACGACGTTGTCCTTTATCATAACCACCCTATAATCTTTAATTATGAATACGAACATTTAGTTAAATATAGTTAAAACTAAATGTTTTATCGGCCGATTCAATCGTACTCTAAGATAGCAATTCACTACAAGCTTGAAACTCTCAATTTTCTTAAGAAAAATAAGATATTTTTTACAGCTCAGATTTCAAATATAATCAGTGGTAGATTAGCGATTACATCGGAGAGAATATTTTACTGATATACGATTCTTTGAATATGCTCCTATACAGTTTGTGCATGTAAGAATAAAATATTTTTTGATTGCAATACTTTATACACTGACAATATCGAACTACAGAAATTTTTCTTCAGTAATACAATGCCGCAATACTTGATTTCGCAATGTGTATATTTGAAATCGATAATAGAATTATTAAGATGTGATATTTATTTTAAAATAAAAATTTCTTTCGGGTTAACAATCTCCAGATGAGTAAATTTAATTCGCATAAATAATATTTAATAACATTAAAGTATAAATCATTATTATTTTTAACAAATTCTGTATGTGATTAATTATAACTTATTATAATTCGAATAAACAAAAAATCAACTTAAAATAATTTATTTTCTCTTTACGGATCTAAAGCATAGTATGATTTCAAGGAGTAATATTTAGGCATTTCGTACAGCATTTATGTTTGAGAAGTGTCGATGAGAAGTTATGTGAGAACAAGTTATGTTGTATGAGAAGTAAATAGTGTGAGTATTCCGTTACTGCGTCCGCTTGCCTACGATCCATATTACGCTACTGACCCAGAGATGGATAGGCCCATAGAGAAAAAGGGATTTTCCCTGTGGGCCCTCGCCCTATATTATATCGGTAGCCCCTTCGATAACATTAATTTTTTCATGGAATTTTTTTTTTTTTATAGTTAAATTATTTAAATTAAATAAGGATGAGTAAATATATTACATTTTTTATAAGCAATTTTTTTCTTAATTTTGGTGGTCTCATTAAAATATTTCCCTGTAACAAAAAAACTACCTATATACCTCTGCACTGACCTTTCGTACATTTGGAATTCAACCAAACAATAATTTTGGCGCTGCACCTGGCCATGTTGGCATGTAGAATATAGACATAATATTATAGACAATTAAATAGTATACAAGATAAATTTGTTGCCGGTCGACATCGTAATTGCTGTCATTATCGCAATTTCGTGAACGCATTAATTCTCATACGTGCATGACACCGAATGCGTGAAATAATTTCATTCGTTTTTAAAATATTCAATAATAGCTAATTGATATTAATAAATATGCAATGAATAAATGCCGAAATAAGATTCGCCTAGTCATGGTAATCCGATTTCAATTTTTTAAATACATTCGAATTTTTTAACTTGTCTCCTATGTTTTGTAGAAAATGAATTTTCAGTTTTCGTTCAAGGCTTTTTTTTTTTTACAATTCTGAATCAAAATGTTTGTCTTTAAAAAAATTAAAATACGAACTATTGAATATTTAAAGAAAAAAAAATATTAACATTGCGATTCCTACAAAACATAGTAAATAAGTTTAAACAATTTTTCAAAATTAAAATCGTATAAATATTACTAGATGAATTTTTCTCCATCTTATTGGTTTAAATGCGTGAAAAATGTAGGCTGCTCCAGCCTCCTCAATATTTTGTTATTTGTTGCATAAGAAATATAATATTTTTAATACAATAATGTATATTGTAAATTTAATTGTTCATTATATTTTAGAGTATATAAATCCACTTCCCACTCATTATAATTTATGTCAACCTAATGAGAGGCCAATTATCTGTACTTAGAGTTAAAATATATGATGTATACAAAAATAAGAGTTCTAAGAAAATTACGGGAAGAGAAACGGTATGAGTTGACTCTAAAAGGAACTCAAAACTCAAGACAAATCGATTTCGATTGAGCATCAGCTTGCAGTGAAGTCCCGTTCGATCATTTAATTCGTGTTTGGGCAGACAAAAAAAATGATAATCCGAATGAGAGAGAAATAAATGGAATGGACATGATGAGTAATCACTTTCGAATTTCAAATAGAAACTTTTTTCAAATAGTTGTCCCACGAAAACATTGGTGTTCTTTAAAAACAAAGTCACAACTATATCATATGCTAATAGATGTACACTATAATATTAAAATATAATACACAAATTCATAAAACTAATTATTACATCGTATAACAAGTTAAATTAAACAATCAATAATCTCATGTAATATATATTTGTACAAAAATAAACGATAGATTTTATATAATAATTGGTATAAAAAAAAATTAACATTAAAAATAACTAGGTTTCTCAAGCATTACATAAATAATTTCAAAGCTCGTCTTTCCGACCGACAACGAATGTAAACAATTAAAAAATGGGACGTATTAAAGGATAGACTTACACCTAAAAACATTCAGTTCAAAAATTAACATGTGTACATCGCAATCGTTATAATATTAGGGCTCGGATTCCGTATGTATTGATTGCATGATCGAAATATGTGTATTCATTGAAAACCAAAAGTGCTCCAGAACTCAAAATACGTATTGCGCTAGAACGATTGATTTGTCGATAAACTCAATCGTGTCAATCGAAAATCACGTGAAACCACACCGTCGCCCGAATGAAACCGCCGAGTCGCAGTGAAAATATACACGCAATGGCATGTGCGTGCATCGTGATCTATCAGCTACGATGACTGTCGAAAATACAATTATTGTTTAATTTAAATCAACAAATTAATATACAATTAATAAATAATAAATTAACGATAATTCTCGAACTAAGGCCTGCGGCTATTTTACCGGAGGACCACGACGTATTTATAAACTGTTTTGAATCGGCCATAATCCATTTATTTTAAAGTTTAATACTGTTAAAATATTTATTTTTTTAAAAGTAAGTACATCGGAAAAACATTCATTTACCGTGTACACAACAATAATTTGAGCGTATTGACTAACGTCATCGATTGAGGAGGCTTCGACATTTTAACGGAGGAGGAGGAGGAGGAGAAGAAAAAGTAGTATGAGAAACACGCTTTTTTCAACGTCAGTACGGGAACGGCGTGATGTACTCGACGTTGTTGCCTGGATCGTCGGGCCGCAAATAGTTCTCGACGTCCAGCAGCTCCTCAGATGGAATCTTCTTCAAGCTCAGGTGGTCCACGATGGACGGCAATGCGGGCGGCCGGGGCAGTGGGCTGTCCAGCTCCGGGCGCTTGGTCACGTTCTTCAGCCGGTCGTGCACGTCGACGAACCGCAACCGCTCCTTCGGGTCGCTCTTCCAGCAGCCGTTCATCAGCACGCAGATGACGGGTGGGCAGTCCAACGGTATGTCCAGCAGCACGCCATCGTGGATCAGTTTCAGCACCTGCGAACAATGTCGCGACACCGCCGGTTGTTATAAATGTCATGCGCACGTATTACACTAACGGCAATACCACGTATTTCTGACATTTTACATAACACGAGCTTTTGGTATCAAAATATTTGCTATCTCCTTGCACACAAAATAATAACTAACATAGGATAAATTAAGAGTGGCAGTGTCCCCTCTGATATTTAATATAGGCACCTTGTTTTAAAATAAATACAAAACAGCTGGTTATAGCTATTACTATACAATTTTTTTTTTTTTAAACCATAATTTTCAATTTTTTCTTATCTTACAATATGTAGGTAGTTAAGCGGCGTCTAGCCGCAGACACCCTTTTTGTTAGATATGTAATTATATATTCGCCCTCCCCCCTAATAAATTTCTGTTACGCCCATGCCCTCCGAATTAGATGTATTATTTAGTATTTTTATAAATTTCAACCATGTTTTAGAGCAGTGGTGGCCAAACTTTTTTTTCCTCGGGCCATAAAAAACAACTTTTTTTATCGCGGGCCATAAAAAAAATGCATTCTAAATTTTTTTTTACGTAAATGCAAAATATTACAGTTATACAAATAAGTGCTGTAATATAGAAGACTTTCGCGGGCCAGATATTAAATGATGGTGGGCCGGAGTTGGCCCGCGGACCGTAGTTTGACCACCACTGTTTTAAAGCACTGATCAATAACACGTGTCTCACAACATTTTTAGTTAATCCCAAGTAACTACACTAAATTTTAAACAACAAATGTTGAATAATCGTAACAAATTTAAACTTAATAAAAGTATGAGGTGTATAATATTTGTTGATATTTATTCAGTTTTTTCACTCTCCTGAATAATTGGTGAAATGTAGATATTGGTATGGTATTGTCATTAGTGTAACGATATGAACTATACGCAATAATGGTATGTTACACGTACATTCAGTACTTGATTTGGCAAAATTAAAGAAGGGGGACTCTGTTTGCTTAAAAAAAAATTGCGTCCTCAAAACTTGTTAAACGTTATAATTATAACGTATTAATAATAGGAAGACGATAAAATTTCTAAAAATTAGAAGGGGTATTCCGTCTTCCTGCGTCCTCCCTCCCCAAGTCGAGCACTGCGTACATCGTATTGTAATGCGTAATAAATATTTCGTCAATGGTAATTTTTATCGTAACTAAAATATTCGCAACACGTAACGACAGAGAGGTTGTCGGAAGAAAACAGAGAGAATAAAAACAGGCATATGCTCATTCTCATGAGCAGACCGTGGTCAGGCCGACACTGTTCGGAATAATTGGAAATATTGGGGGTGGAAAAAACCGTTAAAACACTGCAAACACGACAAATTAGACGAATTTACCATTTTGTTATCACATTTCAATCGTTTTGTACTGTACATTAAGTGCACTTATAAACGCAATAATTACAGATTAGTTTCATCATTATTCAACAGTTTTACACTTCAATAATCTGATTCGACATTATTCCTAATTGATTTTAACATTTTCCTTTTAAATATTTATTTTATTTTTTATTTTTGCTGTGTACACGATTTCGACCGAAATGATAGTTCAATCAAATGAAAAATAAAACATAAGAAATAATTTCTAGTCAATACTTTAGGAGAGGGTCATATTTTGCAAAAGTTAATCGAATAATCGAAAAAAACCAAATATAAATTTAAAATATCGAATTGGTTCACTGTAATTATCAATGAACTAGTGTTGGAAAATGTTCGAAAACGATGCTAACTTCTTGCTAACGTTCGAATTTCTACAATCCAAGTATTGTCTTTAAACCCGCGATGTTGTACAGACAAAAGCGTGTTATTATTATTGTAATTGTTTTTGTGCAAAAGACCCTCGTTTTCCGTCGTATCGGTCCCGCTACGAAACTCAATATTAGATCAAACGCAGTTTACCTCGTCGTTGGAATAACCATAGTACGGCTGTTTACCCAACGAATAAATTTCCCATAGCACGACTCCGAACGACCAGACGTCTGATTCCAACGTGAACTTGCCGTACACGACACTTTCCGGCGACATCCATCTGACCGGAAGCAGTCGGGATCCTCCCACCTGAAACGATAACAACAACCAAATGGATAACTATATTGATTTCGTCGTGATACCGAGCACTAAATGATATTATACCTTGTAATAGTCACACGTGTAAATGTCTCTGCTCATCCCAAAGTCGGCGATTTTCACGGTCAAGTCGTGTCCCACCAAGCAGTTCCTGCACGCCAAGTCTCTGTGCACGAACCGTTGAGTGGCCAAATACTTCATGCCCGCCGATATTTGTAAGGATATTATTAACAACGCGTCCTACAAAACATGTGTGACGTATGATTATGTGCGATGTCGAGACAGTGCAACAATACCGACCAAAATATGATGCCGATATTCGACAACTATACTCGTACTATAAATACAGGGCCGGCGTTAAAAGTTTTAACGCCTTAGATAAAACCATCTTTTGGTGCCTTTGAACCCCACTCCGACCCACTTAGTTTGAGTAGTAGTAAAATAAAGTTTTTTAGTGAATTTAAATAAAATTAGTACATATTTAGTATAATAACTTAGTATTATAATAACGCATTTTTTGGACAGGTTTTTGTTTTTTCGTTGCAAGAATATAATAGTTCTAATTTTGAGCTTGATGTTTTTTACTTTTTGAAAGTTTTTTCAGGGAAAATATTATTTTAAGGGCCACCACTGCCTTCAATATAGGAGTACTGTGTTTCACTAAAAACTTATTTATCAAAACAACCAGAGAACGGAGTTCATTGTATAAAAATAACTAATAAGGAACCAAAATATTATGTAGAAATTAATTAAACAAAAAATATGAATATTGATTAGGTACCTAAAGCACAACTGTTATAATCTTACTTCATGTAGATCGTTAATGCGTATTAAAAGATAAATTAGATGAAAACAATTTTCATTTTGGCGCCCCTTTCGTGCTGGCGCCCCAGGTAATCGCTCGGATCGCACATAGCTTTCGCCGGCTCTGTATAAATATATATCAGAGACTCGAACAGTTTGAAGTTATCGTTACTGGTGCTCAGAAAATAAAATAACTGTCCCAGTTTGGTTCTGTTATCAGTAAAATATAAGATTATTTCTTATTTAGTGAATATACTTTAATATACTATTGTCCATCCATTAAAAAGCATTATAATGGTAATATTTTAGATGTAAACGAAAAATTATTTTAAAGTACAATACTACCAATACTTTTAACCTCCCTATTAAATATTTAAAATACAATTGTACTGTTATAAAATCGAAAATTACAGTCACCAAGACATTATTTTCGATTGATAGAACGTTTCACTTACGCATCGTTTGCTGTAATAATACACTAGCGGGCAGTGTGTCTGTTTAAATTTATCATCCTTTTATTTCGAAGATAATATAGTATTGATTTCAATTATGATGTACACTGAGAAAGACATTTATAAATAATACTATTTTGGTATAAATATACATGTAATAAACATTTCAAAGATATAATTATTTTTAATGAGTATCTACCTATCAAGAGTACTAATTTTGTACATTTCTAGGTATATAGTAAATATTATAAGAATGAATTTCATATTATTTAAAAATAAAATAGTAATAACTAGAGCGCGGATTTCTATGTAATCGCATAGATTTTCCATTCAATATTTTTGGATTTTTGTCAGTTATCTCCACGAATCACCATAATTTGAAGCTAATGGTGAAATTTTTTTTTTTACATATTTCTGCATATTTTGAGGTTATTGCATATTTTTGCATATTTTGGCAAAATTCAAAATTTATTGCATATTGAAGTGAAAATTTAAAAAAAAATGTATAAAATAATATTTTGTTAAGTAGAAAAATCAAAAATAAATTTCACAGTCACTAAATAATAATTTATATATATAGTTATAAAATAAATTATCGATTACAACGTAAACTTAATCGCTCTTGCTGTGTCAGTCGATTATCGACATACCACTTGCTTCAAATATGCCCCAATAACTTCGGTTGACATCAAGGGTTCGTTTTCAGTCTTTAAAAATATGTTAACCGATAAACGACACAGCTTCACAGAAGATAAACTTGATATGCATATAATTATTTATTTTAATAATAAATAACATTTTAAAAATAAATTAAGTTCAGAAAATTCCCTACATTTTTTTGTATTAAGTATTTAAGTAATTAATTTTTATAAGTTGAATTATAAATTTTAAATAAATAAAAAATTCTTGCATATTTTTTGCATATTTTCATGATTTTTACTGCATATTATATGGCATATTTTGATACTTTTAAATGCATACAAATCCGCGCTCTAGTAATAACTAATAAGTTACGCTAAATCAAACCATTTATTTTTTTTTGAGAACTTAAAAAAACCTTTATAATTTAAAAATTACAATTAGGTTCCGGTACTTAATTTATTAATATAAAGGTTCCGGTTACAGTATCGATTCTTTTCGGTTAAATTCCTATCCCTGATATATTATACATCTATTTAACACAGCAAGAAGAAACTATAACTGCAGTATTTCAACAAGTAAAAGTTGTAGCGATGATTTGCTGTACGTGCTACTTCACGCGACATTTTTAATAAAACTGAAATGAATACGTTAATTTAATAATTGTATATAAATACATGGCATTTTTGGTTTTTATAACAAAAATTAATTACTTAGTTATCATTAGTCGGGCAACACATAGTAAACATTATAATATTCTATTCGGTGAATAGGGTTTAAAATAATCTAAGTGATTTTGATCGAATTATGTAACATAAGAGTCAAAAGTGTTATAGTTACACCGTGCGGTTTGTTCCTCCATAACATGAAATCGTATTGTTACATTTTAATTTTTCAAAATATTTCGTTTTAATTAAACAAATCCCCTTAAAATCATAATTCTTTAATTCGTTCAATTCCATTTTTTCAATAAAAAATCCCACTGTCATAATTGATTTGTAAACTGATGTTAATACATGAATTTACGATTGATCTCGCACTTACTTTGTCCACGATGGGTAGGTTTAAAGAACGGTTCGTAAATTGTTCATTACTATTTCGTAAGACTTCCGTCAAATCACCGTACGCCATGTATTCAAATATCATCCATGGTGAAGACACGTCTTCTAAGTATTTAAAAAAACACAAAAACATTATATTACTACGTCTGGTCAAAAAATGATCGTGTCAATAAAATACTACGTATTTATTCCTACTAAATTTCAATACTTAACATTTTTATCACTAATATTTTGTTAAGAAATTATTTTATTTCACTAATATTTAATTTTCTTCTTTTTTATGTAAGATAAATGCCTGGGGTTGAAATGAATTTCGTTAATACCGTTATTAGTAAAAGCTAATTTCCGATTAAATATTTTAGCAGAAATATTAGCCGTCAAACAATTGAAACCTTTTACAAAATGTCAATGATGCCAAAAAGTTATTATAGATTATTTTAATGATGTTACATAATGCTATCTACTTTAAATATTGTTCAATATGGACGATGAAAAATTATTAATCATTCATTTTTTCGGAAAATAATACAACATAGGTTGTAGTGTAATAATGTAAACTATTGAATATGAGATATGGGTTATATTTATTATATTTTACCTTATTTTAAATAATTTAAAATATTACGATGTGAAGTTTATCAATTTATAATATACATTTATTGATTAGATTTTACTAAATTTATTTATTTAATTTTTTTTTTTTATAATAAAAACAAAATACCTAGGCAATATAGTTTAATTTATGATTTCAATACGTAGGTAATATAATTTCATTATAATTAAAACTATAAAACCGGTTAAATTTAATGTATTTTATTAGTCTGAAAGCAAACAAAACGATCGTTATAATACATTTATGAATTAGTAAATTAATAGAACTATGAAATCCAATGTATTAAATATGTTTTTCTCAGTTCAATACATAGCAATACAATATTATTAGGAATGGTTTGGATATATCAGCAGCCATACTATTATTGTTAATATTCATGCACCATTGCGAAAGCTTATGTGGATGATTCGACTGAATCAACTACACAACATCTTAGCGTCACCGAAGCATGTAGTATAAATTAAAATTCTGTCTTTCAAATAATACGAATACACGTCGTTTGTACAACTTTCTACATCGTCTAGTCGATTCTAGAAAAATATTTATATTTCTATATTATATTGCTCAAGGTACTTATTTTCCAGAATAGCTTAGTTCAGGAACATTTAGTTTATAATTCAAACTTTCGACAAACGCAGTAAAGATCTTTGATTAATATCCGAAACTAAGGTTAAAGTTTAAGTAGAGTAACCAGTGTAGGTATATGTGCGTGTGTATATATGTGCAGAAATATACGGTCCCACTGAACTCTAATGTCCCATGCGCTCAATATTTTAACATCGGTACAACACATGCGCTTACAATGTACACAAATAACTATGGAAGTATTAAGCAAAAAAAAAAAAAAAATTAACGGTCTGTTCACAACTTTATAACTTCTTTTATGTATACACGTCAAGAGTTATAGACGTAGATTTCACATAATGGTTTCGAGTGAATAAATAATTTTCCATTCATTCACATGAAAATTATTTTTAAAAAGTGTCCGATCAATTTATATTGATTTATATCAGGGTTCACCAACCTTTTCAGACAAATTCATTCAGAAAAGTCTCTGGTAATCGACATCTAGGAGATTTTAGGAGTAGATATTTTAATAGTATTCAAGAAAATTGAAAAAAAAAATGTGAGTTTTTCAATGTGGTATCTGGCATTGGTTTTCTAATTTTTTATTACAATCGACTGGTTGGCGACTTCTGATTTATATCGATGTAACATATTGGCTGATGGTAACTGCTTTTGAATAGGCATTTAAAATATAAATGTGAACAAAAACCTAAGCGTTGACTAGTTAAAATAGTTAAAATTATGTTCTACTACATCAAAAAGATATAAATGCATTCCGAAAATGGTGTGAAGAAAACGGGAATACTATTTTAATTTACATACATATGTTTGTAAATTATAATCTTGAATTTGTATGATATATGTAATTAAAGCTAAAACATAATTGAATCACTTCGTAACATTTATTAATGTTCGTTATATAATATAGTAAATTAAAAATTCGGAAAAACGAGTACTGTTTAAATGCCGATTTGATTAATGTAGAATATTAAAAAATATTTAAAAATATTAAAATGAAAATGAAAATTTTCAGTAGATTATATTATTAATTAATTACAAGGAATTTTACCGTTTTAATTTTTTATAACTTTTATTGTAATTTTAAAATCATTTTTATGGCATATAGAACATTTGCATGACTTAAAAAACCTTATTGAATTGTCAAACCATTATGTTTTGAACTCACCCACTATCCCACTATTTAAACACAAGTTTGAACAATATTATAATATTTTATTATGAAAGTCCAACAGCACACGTTAAGCCATTTTTTGACCTAAAAGTTTCTACGAGTTAACTATAATAATAATATAACGAATGGACCGATCGATATATTATTACGAGTTTATAGAAATTAATCATTCGGCGGACGGGAAATATATGATTATATAGTCACGGAGAACAAATATTAAACGACCTGTCCCTCACATGTCAAAAACAAATATTATGAACGCGAAATATTACTATTATGATTATATTGTTATTATTGTTACTTCAGTAAAATGCTTTATACCGGCGATTACTTACCTTGTGGGCAAACTCCAATCAACGTCAAGATATTTGGATGCCTGAAATACGTCATGATCTCGACTTCCCTCATAAAGTCCTCCTTAGCCTCGGCATTGGTATGATCTTTGAGCACCTTAATCGCGACCGTTTCCAATTTCCCATCATTGTGTCTGAGAACGCCTGCACAATAATCAAAAAAGACTGGTGTTTACATAATTGTGTTATATTGTTACTTATATTACATTATTGTTACGATAGCGGTGTCATCTATAAAGTAATATTGGTGTCGATATAAAAACTGGTTATATAAACATTATTTTGTTCAAGTAATAAAATCAATTAGAAAAAAACATAAATATTGAAAATGCTAAAAACAATGACGAGGTCTGACTGTTTGTGATCATTAGCAAACAAAATGATGACTGAAGATAAAATATTTTATTTTATTGCATTTTCCTTTGCGAGCAAATATAAATCAATTTGTTCAGTAATCTATTGGGCAGAATGATCAATACCTTTCAAAACAAACATTTTTACCTTCATATTAAATGCACAACGAAAATCGACGAGTTGATATTATAGAAATTAACAAATAAAATAAGTATTTAAAATATACGCTTTCTATATACTGTAGACAAGAATACTCATATTAATCAGTTATATATTCCGGGAACGCTACTTCTATGTACCGTAAAATCGTACCTACAAGAGATAGAGCAATACACAATACACATCAATGCTTTCGGGACCCAAATTAATTATCTGCGTATTTATACAAAAATATTAAAATTATTTTATAAATTTTTTCGTCAAATCAATTTCCCATAAAATGTTAACAAATATATATATATATATATATATATATATTATGCACGAAATGTATTATGTTTATGGTACGAAATAAATTTATGTCAATGTTACAATAATGATTTTCAAAGTAATTTTTATTTATTTATTTTTGTTTTTTATGTTAAATAAACAATCGAGACAAAAATAAGCATAATAAATTTATTTGCTATAAGGCACAACATTTGAGATTCGTGTGTAAGAAGTTACCCACTAGTGACATTTTTCTTGTGCTAAGAAGAGAGAAAAATTAAAAGAAATAGTATTATGTTTAGTTGTTTATATCAAACAATTCAAATTTAAAATTAAAAATGTTAACAACTATTGAGCATTTAACATCACACTCCGCCGAGACCTTAAATGTATAACTGTGCTACTGGCAAAACTGTATTTTACTCCTGCCATTATCTCGAGCAGTACAGTTCAAACAGAAAACGTATAAAATCTACGAATTTTCACGCAGTTTGACGGAGAAGGACGGTAACCCGGACAGCCAGATCTGGAATCATGATTCAGTCCTGCGGGTGGAGTTAAAGCGAAAAGTCTGTAATAAAAATTAATAAAAAGTCTTTCTAATCAGAACACAGAACAATAAAAATAAATCAAACCAAATTTTTTTTTTTTTTTTTTAATAATAAATTGAATAGGTGTGCTTTATGCATAACTACACTTCTTGTTTTATCCCCAGCCCTTTCTAAATTTTTCTTATTTTTTATGATCTGTATCAAATTTACAAAGGTTAGCATTTTTATAACTAAGAATATTTTAAAATATTTTTTAGTAAAATAAACACTTAGTTTGGAATTTTATTAAACAGATACTCAAGGCTGAAAAATAAATGTTATAATATTTTAACCCAACTCGTACTATTTCCTTATAATAAAAAATGTAAAAAAACCGATGGTATTTTTAGATTGAATATTGAAGAGGTAGCTATTATTATAATTTAGAAATAAAATTATTCAATTAACACATGGAGACAATTTGAATTATTTTAATTTTAAAACGTCTTAGCATGCATCCATGTCACGAAGAATTTTGAAGAACAAATTGTTTAATGGATTGACAGGGTTTCAAAAATAAACCATTACTACTTTTAAGTTGACTTCACCGCAAACAAGATATCATGTTAAACAAACATCGTATAAGTGCATCGAGTAGTTATAATAACAACTCAAAATCGATACAATAGCTGTTGACTCTAACATTCAACGCCCAGTCTCAGTGACACCGGTCCAAGTACGTGTAATTCTAAGAGCGCGTGATCGATAGTGTTCGATTATTGATGCGTTAACATACCTTTGTAGACCTTGCCAAAATAACCTTGACCAATCTCTTGCATCGACGATATGCAACTTTTGCTCAGGTACGGTATCAGTATCGTGTTCTTGGCGTCTACTGCCGGTGATGGGGCCGCGTATTGCGGGTTCAGCGCGTAACATTCGTCCTGGATCATACCCTTCATCAGCGGCACCACAAGGGACTGCGTAAAATCGTCGAGGAAAAAAAACAAAGTCAAGTACATACGTATACGTAGTGCAGCTACAATAATATTATAGTTATAGTGAATTTGTTTAGCGGAAAATACAAAGCATACAATAATATAATTCGATCGGTTTGAGGACGTAAACAAGACCAATTTTCGAACGTTTGCAACAATGTTATATCATTTTTAATAGAGGAAATTGTTTGAATGACGTTTTTTCACACGAACAGCCGCAGGTAGCTGTTATTTTTCATTTTCGCCTAGTTTATACCTATGGGCAACTGGTTTCCCGCGTAAATTTTTTATCCTTATAAGGTAAGGGTGTCCATACACTTACCTTTGGTTTTACATTCTTTTTCCTGCAACAGCCTTTCGACGAACGACTCCAGCACACGGCTAATATCAGTAACAGAAATGCGATTGCCACTATGGCAGTCACCATTATCATTAAGTTTATTTGAAACGCAAACCCTAACAATCGTATATCCAACTGTTTTTCCTGCAAATAAAAAGCAAAAAATCTATGTTAAAATACAGTTTTGTAATTATAACGTTACATTGATAAATTTGTGTACGATTTAATATTATAAATTATAATACACTGGTATATTGCTGTTACAATGGTCTTCTTCGGTAATATTTCAAAATTTTGTTCAAATAAGTTGGTTGCAAGCCAGAAATTCAAACCGCAGGGAAAGCTGTATTATTAATTATTTATAATACACAGTAAATTTCGTATAATGGTACCGGGTGACATTGTTTTATTTTTTTTAACATTTTTTCTTTTTAAATTTTACTGTAGCTCGATTATTTCTGTATCTATTAAATATAAAAATTGATTGACACATTGAGTATAAAAATGTTATTTACAATATAATATATTTGTAAAACAGCTCTTCTGGTTTCCCTCACTAGAAAAATTGGTATATAAGTCTCTCAATAACTTTAAAAAGAACGCTGGCATGTACAAAAGATTTTTAGAATAATAATTCATTACATTATTATTACTTAATTTCGTTGTACTGGATTCCAGATGAAAAAGTAACGTATTGTTTTATGATAGTGTACTTTTTATTTTAATTTTCATGATTTATTTTTCGTACACGGCTCTCATTTTAATTTTAAACGATTTGAATAAAAACTAACCATTTACCGATTTATTAATAATAAATGCTTTACATGTAACCATAATATATATGAGGAGTTATAAAATATTTAACATAAAACGTTATTTGAGCGTAGATAATAAATTGATTGAAAATAATAGATGTGAAATCTGTATTAAAGGTAAATATTTTGATAACATTTTTTTAAAAATTTATAAATTATTAATATTTATAAAAATTTTAATTAAAAAATGATCATTAAAAAAAATTTACCACAAGTTTCGGTGAATTAAAAACCACTTTAATAGTTACCGAAATGGAAAAATACCATTTAATTCAATAGTGGTCCTTTAACCTTTCTCAAGGTATGCCAAAATGTATTTTAGTTTATTAATTGAATGAACAATTGATGTTAAAAATAAATACTATGATCGGTCTATAACAGTACATCGGTGACTATCATAGTCTCAAAAAATGAAAGCCATTAAATTTCAATAAAAATTACACAATACTATTACAAAATAAATGTTTCAGATTGAAAGTATAATAATGTGTAACAATAACGAAATGTATCGAACTATGTACGATCTCTTCCGGAATAAATTAAATAATACATTGATCTAAGCTATTCTCGAAAATAATGATAAAGTTGTATACTTCGATACTTTACCGAAAAGCATTTGAATATAAAATTCGTTACGGAAAACTGCTATTCTATTGAATAGATATTTGATTATCATCGATATTTTATTCTATTCGTTGAAACTGTAACGGGTCAGTCGGCAGTAAACATTCAATTTTTAGTAACGAAATTCATCTCTTATTTTATATTACATACGCATAGGATCGTACATTGTGTAAAGTGATAAAATATTTTTCTGTATATTAAAAATAACGAGGTTATGATAATGAAGTTAACCCATAAAAATTCCCAAAAAAACAAACCTAATAAAAGATCTATTATAGTTACTAAAGGCTGTCGTTTCAAATACGTCTCACTTTGGTCAAATTAAAAAGTTTGGGAAAATTATAAGGCTTTTCAAACATGTAAATTTGTTTATCAAATTGACTTTTTGTAAATATCTTCCTCAGATATTATCAACCACACTGATTTTGTATCAATAGCTACACATCGTAAATATTTTGATGTAGTGTTCATTTACAAGTTAATAAATGGTATGATAGATTACTCTGATTTTTTTTTTATCTAGTATAAGTTTTAGATTTCGAGCTTTCAATTTTAAAAATATATATCCAATTTTCATATCCTCCCAGCTTTAGATATCACTCATACAGTGATCCAATAATTTATCTAAGTCACATACCAAACAAACTAGTTAATTTTAAGTTTAATTTTAAATATTTCGATCCTGTAATCCAGTATTTAAATCGTACACATTTAATTAATAATCATAATATAATTTAATACAATATTATTGTGTCGTACACAATTGTCATGCAAAATGAATTATTAATTGTTATTAATCACTGTACATTTCTCAGTCAGGGGTATTAATTAACCAGTGTTCGGATTTATCTAGATATCAATTTAAATGAATTAATTATCTAGATTGTTATTTACTTATATTTTATCTTATCTACATAAATATTTACAAAATATTTAAGTATTTATCTTTGATGAATATTATATTGATCAGAATAAATCCATCTAGATACATTTTTATTACCAGATTTGTGCAATTTTTTTAAATTTTTATTTCAATCCTCAATCAAAGTGTATAAGTTATAAAACATAAATAATACAACATACAGAAATATATGAATAACGTTAATGTTTTTACATGCAAGTAGGTATAATGTTTATTTTTTATAAATTAAAATTGAAAATATACTTGTATAAGAATGGACATTCACAGTTATCGGCATATTAATTATGAATAACGTTTGACTTTTGAGCTATAAATAATCATAAATTTAATATCACTCAGTATATATTTAATTTAAATTTCAACTATTCATTAATATAGTTATGGCAAAATTTCTGAACGATAATTGTTATTACTTTTAACATTATAAATATTTAATTTCAAAAATATGTTATTCATCTTTACCTTTTTTTTTTTTTTTTTTTTTTCACTGTTTCATTAATAATTAATAATTAAGAAATTCTAAAAGCTATAATACTGTAAGGCAAAAGCAAATAAAAAAAGAAAAATCTACGATGTTAGGTTTGCACTCGTTTAAAAACGGTACGAAACATTTTTTATCCAGACAAAAAAGTGTTTATCTTATACCCAGGCGAATATGAATTAAGTTATTTTTTATCTTTATTCAGATACACTCGAGTTGTATTTTATCTAGACATAGAAAATTACTTATTTCATCCGAACACTGGTATCGACTAGTACAGTTAATGAATTAAATAATATTATGCGTTTTACATAATCGATCGTATGGCCTGTCGATGTCACGTCACGGGGAAGCGGCGCCGTCTGATTGATCGCCGTGGTTGTCTTTATCGGCTGACTGGTCGTCGTGCTCTGCCGAGTCTTCGTAGCCACCGACGCATGTTCGTTCTTGTTGATGCTCAGGTTCACGAAAGATTTTGGGAAAACCGGAACTGCACACAGAGCGTCATAATGCATAAAGATATTATCTGGAAGAGCGCAACATGGCTCAGGGACTGGAATCTTTAAGTTTTTAAGGTTCCGGTTCCGGTCCGGTTCTCAATTATTTTATTAAAAGGTTCGGGTTATGGTTATTGAAAAATACAAAATAAGGGTTCGGGTTCCAGTATCATAAGGTTCTATATAAAAATTTTTAAAATTTATTCCATAGTATTTTTTGATACATATTTAAAAATTACATATATGTTACTGGTATTATGGCATTATACTAGGCAAGCAAATAATATTAAAAATTAAGATTAAAAATAAAATTGTTAAAAAAATTATACCTCAAAAATTTATTTATGCTTTGAAATTTTAACAATAAATACATATTTAATAATGTTTGTTACATCCAATATTTTTCATCTTAAAAAGAGGGTTCCGGTTCTTTGTATATGTAAAAATTCGGTTCCGGTTTCCAAAATTTTAAGGTTTCTTGGGTTCCAAAACTGGTTATTTGGGTTCGGTTCCAGGCCTTGCCACGACTATTAAGAAATTAAACAAAAAAGAGCACACGGATGGTTTACACTGCTAATGATCTCATTGTACGTTTATGTAGCGCAGTCGATCATTACCGCAAGTCTAATTATCTTTGATCGACTGTATCGTTTTACCGGCCAAATGTAACCACGTTAGGTACTACGACGGTATGCGGTTACAGTTAGTGCGTACGTAAGAAATTTGACACATCTAATAATTTTTGAACAATCATGGATCTTGAATTTATATAATCAAATAAAAGAGAAAAAATAGTTCAGTTTGGTTATCGGCTGAATATAAATATCGACACATTCGATCAGTGGCAGAAGGGGGAGTGGTTATAAATTTGAAAAAAATTTAAATTTCGGAACGTGTTTGGTAAGTAAAATAGGAAAATTTAAATTGTTTAATCGTTATTTATACATAGATAATGCATATTGGAAAACAATTTAGACTCATACTAAGTTTTTATTTCTGAAAGGGGAAGGGGGGGGGGCAAGTTGCGCCACTGCATGCAGATATTGAAATCTACTAGTGACCATGTACGGAAGAGTACAACGTATTCTTTATTTTATTGCCCTTGCGCTTTATTGGGTGATAATGAAAAAATTAAAGTGTGTTATTTCACTCTTTTGGTTGTCATTAGACGACCACAAATATAACGGGTGAGAACGGTGACGAAAAAAAGCGTATGTTCTTACCAGTTTTTCGCGTGGGGCATTTTAGGTCATCGGTGGGCTGACTGGCGTCCTGTGGACAAACGCACTTGTAAAACGTTTCATCCAACTGCTGGCAAGCGGCTTCCAGACCGCATGGCTTCATCTCGAAGCATGATCCAACTCGACGACCATCGCTTGCTGAAAAACATAACCAATTGCTGTATTTTACACATAGGTTAACATTTAATTTCACTAGGAATTCGCAAAATGTAATTAATTAGTAAAATAGTGCAAATACATGTTTAAGTAATACTTTAAGTAGTATTATGATTTTAAGTGGAATTGCACCAAACGCTACAAAATATATGTAAAACAATAATAATTATTAATATAATTTATTTATTAATATCTAAACATAATTATTATGTCTAGATATGTTACTTCTTCGGCAATATGAGATTATAAAACAAAAATAAATAGTTTCACTGTAGATAATGCTTATAATAATTATAAAACATCAATGTTAATTTCGTTTTTTAGTTACATTTTAAAATATGATTTAACCTGTTATTTTCACAAATACGCATGATTTGCTTCGAAATACTGTAGTAGGTGGGATTTCCTCTGTACCAATAATAATTGGTAATGATATTACCATATATTATATATGTTAATGATATTTAACATGTCATGAAAGCTTTGGGCTTGTAATCAGTGATTAAAGTGAAGAGGACGATATAGTGGCGGAAGAGGACAAAGTCCTCTTTCTTATTTAAAGTAAGATTATGTGTACCCTATAATTTAAATCTCCTAAGTCCGAGGGGACTTAACGCTAAATGGCGTTAGTAATTATCACATAAAGTACATAATATATTTGTATTTACATGAAATTTCTTATTGATTAATATATTTGAGCAAGTGGAAAAAGTTAAGACTTCGAAGAAAAAAATATTTATAAGGAAATTATATATTGCGATATGTAAGAAATAAGTATAAAATAATATTTTCGTAATCGTGGGTTAATTTAACAGACGTTTTGTCTAATTGTAAACAGATATCCGGGCGCTCGAGTACCTACATAACAATTAACAATTTAACGATTTGATACCAACACATTTTATTATTAAAATGGCTGTTCCAAAACTGTATTGATATGTAATAGACAGAAGCATTTAATGATTGTAAGTTGAAAATGTTTGCTTTCTTTTTTTGATGGTATGGTCATGGTATAAATAAGTTACAATAAAATACATGTTAGGTAAGTTCTTAAGTTATAATTAAAAGGCGGATTTTTAGGTTTTTTTAAGTATAATATATACATGGAAAAAAAACCTCAAAATATACCCTAAATATTCCCTCAAAAACTGGTAAAATTTGTTCGAAAAATACTTAAATTCAAGGAATATTTTTATTTTCTTCAAAATATTCTCAAGTATGCTAATTATTTAATTATTTAATTATGTACAATATTATGAATACAATGTACATATTTTGATTAATATTGTTAATAGTTGTATAAATTGTGGTTTGCACTTATAAACATGTACCTATTTACTCAAAATAGGTAAGACATATCTTATGTAACAAAAAAAATTGTGTCCAGTAAAAAATTCAAGATAATTTACATTAAGTTTTTTTCATTTGTAAAATTAAAAAAATCACAACATATTTAATAAAACAAAAAAATCTAATGATCTACTGATCATATTATTAAATAATAAAATAAAATAATTATTATCGTTTTATTTTAATCCTTTTTTCATATTATGTTTTTTTTCTGTGATATTTAAGTCCAAATTTATGAATTGTACAATTATGATATTTTCTACCAATAACAACACATATTTTAAAGTATAAAAAATAGTATAATATTCTTTAATCCTCAAAAAATGTTGAATTATGTAAAATAAATAGTTTTTTTACAAACTCAAATAAATAACTATAATAAATAAATATAAAAATAAAAATAACTCTTCAGTTGTATAAAAATATATATATATATATATATTTATTTAATTGTTAATAATACATAAACATTATTATTATTATATTTGCGCATATTTGTTACTGTTTTATTGACCAACAATTGTAGGTTAGCAAGGTTAACGATTGTTAATCTTTAATTTTGTTACACTTATAAATGTTAAGATGTTTTGTACATTTAAGTAACAAATAATTTAAATTTAAGCTTGTGAGTTGTGGTATTATTTTATTATGCAAAATGTGATGATTATAGTCTCTCCTCGACATTTTTACCACTTTAACCACTGTTCGTAATTAATATTAAAATTGCATGAAAAACAGAAAATCGTTAAAAATTTCAAGTGTGAAAAAAATATAATACAACAGAGACAGTGGCGTATCCATGAGGGGGTTTTGGGGGTCAGAACCCCCCCATGAACCCGAGATGGTAAGTTAATTTTTACATGAAACAAGGTTTTTTCTTTAACATTTTTATATTTTAGAATTTTGACTTGGAAATCATATTAATAGTTTGCATAAACACTTTAAACGTATTATACACACGCTGCACACACACACACACACACACACATGTCATAATATTATTATCATATTTAGATACTTTACTACTACTTTGATAATTTTTGCTTGGGAACATATTATTTAGGTTTTCTACAGCAGTTGATTCTGAATTGGTCGTGGTTCCGATAACTGAGATAAAAGTGATATAATTGTCTGTATTCAAAGTTTATTTTGGGTAAACGTATTGCATTCGCGGCTCGCCGATCATTTAACACAAGCACCTTATTGCGTACAACTAATAGTTATTAGTTAATAGTTGGTCGTTGCTCGTTGGTGACTCACTATTTTACTTACTACTCATTTATTCGTTTATATTTGACATTTGTATTCCATTATATTTGTTTTATTTTAATTTGACAACATTCTATAACTTCTAAACATTCCATTATGGTAAGATATTTTTAAAATTTAATTTTTAGTATACCTAAAAGATTGGACAGAAAATATTCTATTATCTAATATTTATGTTCCTATATTAGTTCCTAATTTCTAAATTGTTATTATTATTATTATTATTATTATTATTTGTTATTATAGGCAAATTCTCTAACAAATAAGCAGACTAGAAAAATTAATTATTTTTTTTTACCCGAGTTAAAAAAACTAATATCAACCAGACAAATACCGAGATCAATATAAATAGTAGTTAAAATGATTTAATATTAACTATTAATATTTTAGTAGTACTTAGAAAATGGATCTCCAATGAAAATACAGTATAATTATAAAAATTAAAAATATACTATATAATTGTAATCATATTTATTTAATATTCAAGTGTTAGAAATTACTTAAATCAATTTATTGTACTATTATAATATTCAAATATCGTAAATATATATATAATGAGATAGTATATAATTATATAAATATTAAGTAAAGTTTTCTATTTATTTATATTTAAAGTATTGCAAGATTCTATACGGTATAATACTGGTATAATACGGTATTATAAAAAAAAAAATAAAAAAAATACTGTATTTTAACATCTCTAACAGTAGATTTCGAAGGAAAACAATCGAATTCCGAATATGTATACATTTATATGTATAGATTACATTGACTTAACTTTCCGATTCTTTGGCACGATTTCCCTTTTCCCGATTCCCACGACGAACAGTTTGTTCAAAACTTTGCTCTACACGGCATATTGTTCTGCTTTGATCGGGTCCGATCATCCGTAAACGAATGAAAAAAAAAAATGAAAAGTAGTCCAAATACCTAATTTCAGCCGAACAACAAGTGCATCGTAATAATTGTCCTTTCGGTATTGAGTTTTGTTTATCTATACGTGTCAATTATCATTACAGTTCTAGGTGCGCAAGCGCGATCGACCGTGAGAAAGCGCAAAGACGTCGCCGAGAACATATGGTCTCCGGTCGCACTCGGGACACATGAAAGGCGGGTAACAATCGCCGCCGACCAATTAAACAGTCGAAAGTGAAACGGTGAAAAATTCGAGTTGTCGACTACGTCGGCCGTAAAACGATTGTTTATTTGTTACTAACACGTTATATTGACGCGCATACGTCCGTATCGTACGGCGAATATACTTTTATCGTTTTCATTTATCTCATCTCCTATTGTTTTTATCGTTTTACTATTTGTCCTCTTATATCCGTTATCAATAGGGCTCGGATTTACATAATACGTATTTATATGTGTATAAACGACCAAAACAAGTATTTATACAAACCAAAATATCTGCGTAAACATATGTTCTAAGACACTCGAAATATATACTATACCCATATTAATGCGATAAAATAATGATCAAATTAATGTTATCAATTTCCTATCTTTTATGCCCATATTACTATGAATGGACCTAACATTTTAAAAGATTTTTTAATAATAGTATGTCATGAAAATAACATATTACCTTCGATGATAACCCCTAGATCTCTTATACAAGTAACTTGTATGATATAATGATAGAAGAGTTAAAAATTCTATAATTATGGGTAGTAACATTATCAAGACGAGAAAAAATAATGACAATTTTGACCACTCCAAATAATAAATTTGTCCAAATTTGACAGTAAAATTAAGGAGTCGGTTGGAGATTTAATAATGAAAAATATAACATCATCGGCGAAAAAAATAATATTTACTGGGCTATTGAAAATAGTGGGTAAATCATTTATAAATTATATGAGCAAAAGGAGTCCAGATGCGAACCTTGGGGTACACAAGAACTATGAAATCTTTAGAAATATGGTATAACACCTTTACTGTTTGTGAACGAAAAGTTAAATAGGATTCTATTTAAATTAAAAAACTACCATTGATGATAAGAGAGGATAATTTATTTAGAAGCATGTTATGGTTGACATTATAGAACGTTTTCCAAAAATTATTATAGATAGATTCCAATTGCACGATCATTAAGGGCTTCAATAATTTTAGACTGACAAAGTAATAGGTACATTTATGGCAATAGACATTTTAGGTGATAGACTCTGCGCTGCGTGTATTAACGATATGAAAAAAACATGTACGCTATAACATATTATGTCTTGTAATATTATTTGTATTTTTCATATGAATATAATTATTTACCCCAATTTCGGTAAATTTATAATCATTAGGTGTAACATGAAATGTACAACTAAACATACGGTGTTAATTATTGCGTTAATTGAACCTCCAAG